AAGTTGGATTGGATGAAACATTGGATGAAACATCATTTATTCATAATTCCAATAGTTTAATAAACGTGGTGTTTTGTCTTAGTCCAGATTACTATACCCTCTAGCCATAAACCATGGTTAGGGGCACTGAAATAAATCAGAAGAAGAAAACAATGTTATATTTAAATGACTTACATATTCAAATCTGTCTTTGCAGAGCTGCACCATGAGGTGGAGAAAGACCAGGGCGGAGAACCATAAACACCACATCACCACCTCCTCCACTGTCTGCACGTTCAATACGCCAAAGATGAAAATGAACTTGTAGAAGATAAAGTTCCAGAACTTATCTTTCAGGTGCTGAGGAATAAACAAAAACATCAAATTAGATGCATTTCTCTGGCAGGTCTGCACAGCGGCATGAAAGTAGTTTCAATCATCTTCTTAAGGCAAAATATGTGAAACTCCTGCATCTAGAGGTCTGTCTTTCAAATAGTAATAAAAGACAGAGTTTGGAAGTGCCTTGAAGCAGAAGGTATGTGGAATCATGATTGTCTTCACCACCATGTCCATAGTTGCTTGGCTCTGCAAGGTAAACAGTCTGTATTTCCCCAGCAGACGAAGAGGCTGCGAGCTTCTCAGAAATGTTTGCCTAGTTTGTTTTTTAAATAAGGTAAAATCCAGACATTGGATGACCAAGATCCTTTATCCATTTAACATCTATAGTTAAATGACCAAGATCTATAAAGTGTATCGTAAAAATGTGGCTTATAAGTGGACAAAAACTCCATTAATTACAACTACTGGGAAAAACTACAACGCTGACACATCTGCAAGGACGAGGATACGTTTTCACTACAGGCTATCAAATAAAACGTACTGTTACCGTGACTAACAGTGGAGATATTCTTTAATATGTTTGTAAGCATTGGGAATAACTTAACTAACGAAATAAATAACTAGTTTGTCATTTGTATACATTCAAATGCAATATTTTAACGTAGTATATTGTTCACACATTAACTCACCTGCTTCTCACTGACTCTGAGCGGGCCGAAAACCATATACTGAATCATTTTAGCTATTAACATCAAAGAACAGCAGAATGTGTTAACCAAGACCTGGAGGAGGACAGAGAATATAGTCACAATTAGTTTTCATAAGAAACACATCATCTAATCTAGCCATTAATAGTTAAAGACTAGGTGACAGTACTCACCCATACAAAGAGACTGTCAGTGACAAGATACCACAGGACAGTGGTTGCCAGTTCTGTGTTAGTAATATCATTGTTTAGATGTTCAAGATCCACATCAGGGGCAGCTGGTGTTTCGTCTGGTTCCAAGACCCCAAAGCCCGGGTCTGTCACAGTGGTGTAGGCACTAAAGATGCTGCCAGCAAGCAAAGCCAAACTCAGGGCAGTGTAGGTCTGCAGGCTGGGCCAAGGAAACCTCTCCAAAAACAGCAGAGGCATTGCAGTGTTTGCGGCCCACTTCTCAACTTGTAAAAATGGTGTGTGTCCCGAACCAAGAACTCGAAGAACCTGCGCAGTGAGTTAGTTAGCTCAAATTGGCAAAAGTTGCGTACCTTTGATACATGCAAATGAGTTAGAATACGACCCTGGCTATCTCATGTTAATAAGTGATTTAGTTATGATTTGAAATGAATGACACTATTTTTGTTACTCGTTTCCAAGAAGCTATAAGACTCACGTTAGCTAGCCGCATACGTTAACATACGTTGCTGTCAGTTGTCAAGCAATGCTAACTTCTCGTTAGCTCAGTACAGTTGGTAAAGGTGGACCTTTTTAATTGTCTTTAGTGAAACGTCAAAGGTAAAATCAGTCAAACAACATGAAAAGCGGTAACTTAAACTAACTGACATTAATACCCCCAGTGTCTATAGTGTAAAATACATTTAACGCAAACAAATAAGAGTTCACGCCCCGTAACATTAGCCATTTACGTTACCTAATTCTAGCTAACATTAGCAACGTAGCTAGCCTCTGTTAAACACCAGACAACACACTAATACTACATCGTCACTCACAGTTTTTAACTTATTTAGTTAAACAGAATATCCAGTGTCCCTCGCTGTATCCATCCAGTGCTGTGCTTTTAGTGCAGCTGCACTGAGAGCGTCGTAGTTGTCAACATCGTCATGTTTTTATTTAATGGAGAAGGCAGCTGACTGAGAGAAAGCCTTCTTCTTCTTCTTCTACGAGGTTTAACGCTTTTACTGCCCTCTTCTGGACTGGGTTAACATCTATATACTGTGTCAACATTTGCCTGATTTTTCCCATAAACTGTTCTACTGGGAAGCTGATAAAACCAGAGGTGGCGAAAGTACTTAGATTATGTAATTAACATGGTAATTAATGCCTGAATAGTATAGGCCTACCATGTAGGAATACTCTGTGACAAGTTCACGATTTACTTTTGAATTGTAGTGGGGTAGAACGTACAAAGTAGCAAACATTGAAATACTCAAGTAAAGTTCCTCAAAATTGTACTAAAGTGCAGTACTTGAGTAATGACTTAGTTACTGAATGAAACCCATCATAAATAGTCGACCGTGTCCATTTTCACCACAGAATGTATTGTATTAATTACAAAAAAATGTAAATGATACATTTAAGCCAGTGTGAGATATGACAAAAAGTATGTGGGGTTTTAGGTTTAAGGTTAGCCTGATTCTGATCCTGGTTGCAATAAATAACTTTGTTATATCTTTTATATCACTTTAAAATGATGCTCTTACCATGTAATACAACCTTGTAGCCCTGCAAAAAAAAAACTTCTATAGTTTTTTTACACGAAATTGTGAAAGTTAAGAAAAATGGACAGGGGGTTGTTTAATGAACTATTACATAAGTGTGCTTGGCACAGAAATAATTCTGACTGTAGCTATGAAAAAGCAAGTAATGATAATAAGTAACCATTCCAACGATTGCCATTCATGCAATAGATAAAGCTGACAGAGTTAAAGTTAAAGTGTGTGAATGGGACTTTCCAATTGCAAAGGTTGTTGGGGATGTATAGGGTGAGACGGCACAGACACAAGTCTAGCTTTGTGTCTAATCTTAGAAATATATGAACTATGTTAAAACTGGTGATCTCAAAGGTTTTGGAAGAAGGAGAAAAAAAAGTCATGACTTTCTTTCAGGTCAGCTGCACCATTGCAGTAACGGTCAGTTTATTATGATTTGCTCTATAATGTGTATTCCTCAAACACAGGTGGAAAAGAGAAAGACATGTTTCTTTTTGGAAATAATTAATATTTATTAAATGTATTTATTGTAGTATATTTAGGTTGCCAATGTAGAAACAAACAGAAAAACACATTTTAATAACAAGCATTGTTTTCTGATGTACACTTTGGAACATATTAGGTGCATGTCATTAATGTGTGTTGTGTAACAATCCAGATTGTATCTTTAACCTGTTAAGCCCTGTGCCTGTTTTTCAGGTCTCAGGCTCGAAAATGACATTCCCAGAACAAATGACTATATCTTCCCTTCTAAACGGGATACATTAATCATCTTTTTTCTCAAAGCAAGGTTACATCTGTGAGTTGGATGCAGAAGTGTCAGAATCAATATAGATGTTTTTATTTTAAAGTAAATTCAGATTGAACATAGTAAAAAAAAAAAATGATAGTGTCCGTCCAAAAAAAAAAAATTACTTATAGTTAAAACCACCCTTGAATGATGAAGGGTAGACTAAAAGCTTTAGGAATCCAAACTATCACATATAATAAGTACCCTGTATAACAAGTGACATTTGACCTTTTTAGAGAGGTTTAGAATAAAATAAAACACTTCTGGGGTCATTTGGGTGTATTTTCCATATCTCTGGCCCCCCTCGTTCGATGTTGATGATTGACATCTCTTTTTAACCATTAGAACCAATAGAATGGGGAAATTCCTCATCTGAACATTACCCATTGGTGAATGAGTGATGCGCGCAGCCAGAATGCCCCGGAACCGGAAGCTGCGATACACTCTAGTGGCTATCATTAGCAGCTAATATGAAATCTCCGTTTTTTACATAAAAATTGAATGATGGATTATCAGTAATTATTTCAAAGTGACACAGACACATTGGATTAACCATTGGATTAACCTTCAGCATCGTTTCTATCGTTTTAATGCCATTGAACACAACTTTTGATCAGAATAACAGCTAAAGTGAGGCGATCTCCCTTACGTGTTGTGATGTCTGGGTTTGCTTCCCCTGTCGCGAGTTCTAATCGCTCAGAGATTATACTGATATTTCTGGAATCTGCGGAATCTCAGTTTGCTAATCGCTGGATTGGATGTGCAGTTACGATAAGTAATGAGGGTATTTATACCGTGAGTTCTGTGCTAACTGTGTTAGCACTTAGCATTCTTGTGAGACTTGTGCTTTGTTTCGGTAAGAATGGTTCATATCTTCAGTTAGCTGAGATTCTAACCGTTAAGTGAGTATGACACATTAATATGTTTTTAAATATTAAGAATCCCTGAGACACAGTTTCATGAAAAAACTACCCGCCAGACCCGGATTAGGGTCCTCTCGGGCTTAACAGGTTAATTGTATTATCCTTGCGTGAATCTTTAGTGCCCTGTTTTCCATTCTCTATCTGTTGCTGCTTTAAACTCCTGATTTTACCCACAGGGATTAATAAAGGTCCATCTTTTCTTATTTTATACACTTTCTCAACCATCACAAATATACACAAAATAAAAGCATTCAGTGATTGAACTATAAAATACCTAAAGTAAATCATTACATGGCAATCAAATCAATATCACCCTGACTTGATCCATAACATACAGATAATAAAGTTCATCAACAGACCATGGTCTCAGAATAGAAACAGAAAGGTCTTTGGAATAACGGTAGATCATCGTTCTAGGATCTTACTGAGAAACCTGGTTCCTGTTCCAACTTATCCATAAAGGGAAGTTAAGACTTGCTTGTACAGCACTTTGTTTTTCTTTTCATGCAGACGCCACTGTAAAGACATACACTTGCAGCATGAATCACTCGACCGAGCTGTCTTCTTCAGTGGAAATGGTCCCTGAGGAGTTTGACGGCTGGACAGTAGTTGTGTGTGTGATCCTGGGTCTGTCATTTCTGATAGGAGCTCCGGGGAACCTGCTGGTGATCTGGACTATCCTGAGACATGTCAAGCAGCGCTCCCACACTGTGCTGCTCATCCTGCACCTGGCTGTTGCTGACCTGCTGGTCCTCATCACCCTGCCTCTTTGGATCTACTCCCTGGCTGACACCTTGGTGTTTGGAGGAGCCTTCTGCATGGCCTTGGTGTACATTGTCTATGTCTGCATGTTCAGCAGCATATTCTTTATCACCCTTATGAGTGTGGAACGCTATTTAGCCATCTGTCATCCATTTTTAATGATGCGCTGGAAGAACAAGAGCATTATGAACACATGTCTCGCACTTCTGTGGTTCCTCGCATTACTTCTAGGAGTGCCTGCATTACTGACCGCACCTATGGATGAAAGCGATGTAACTGAGTCGTGTTTCATCAAGGAATTCAGCTCTGTGACTCAAGCGATCATCTTGTTATGTTTGGAGTCCTTGGCAGGTTTTGTAGTCCCTTTTGTCATTCTAAGTATCTGTTACTGTCTAGTAGCTGCCCAGCTAAGGAAAATGAATTACAACTCCAAACTAAAATCTATGGTGCTTGTGCACACTGTGGTGATAGCCTTCACATTGTGCTGGCTGCCTTGGCATATCATCAACATTATTGATGTGGTTTGCATCCTAAATTCAGGCACAGATCATGAATGTGTGCAAGAGAGTGTTGTCTTCACCTCTGGAGCTCTTGTTTTTATCAGCAGTTCAGTGAATCCTATATTATATGTCCTCTTCGCAAGGAATTTACGAGGGAGTTTGGAGCAGTCCCCTCTGGTCAGGCTTTTCCAGGAAATGGTCACTCACACCAACAAACTCAGAGAGCTGGTAATACAACATCAGACAGGCCAGAGGGCAGCAAACACACAGTTGGAGCTGATGAGCGACTCAGAAACTAATTGAATCCCTGGAACTGTGATGCTGGGGAAATGTGACATTTTTATATTGCAGTTTATTATGGGACTATTCTTTATTATGAAGGCCTTTATATGATCGAAGGCTTTGAAAGACTGTACAGTATGTCACATGCACTTAATGCAGTCTCATCATTGACACAAGCCTTCTCTCATCGCCTTCCCATTTACCCTAAGATGTCAAGGCAAGAAAACAAATGACAATGTGTTTTTCATTTTGATGATCATATATTGATGTTTTGTTGAAAATCTTGAAAACATTCAATTTGATATGCTCTATGATTGTGATAAAGTGTTTTTTGTTTTAGAGTAAAAGTCTTGTATTTCTTTACATCAGATTTTTCTTCCTCCAATTTTCTCAATTTTGTAGATGATTCATGAACTGTCATCATACATATTCTCCCAAGCCTTAATGTTGTTGTGTGTACCATGGAGTTGCTCCCACATAACTTTTTAGTATGTGAGATTATGTATTTTCTGAGATCATTTCAAAAAGAAATTGTGGGTTTCTCTTTTACTTATTTGACTCATTTACTTACTTTTAATTGAGGTTGACCATAGGTAAAAAACAAAATGGATGTATGACGCATGTATGAATCACCTCTCTGTGTCTCAAATAGCCATGTGAGGAAACCCCTTTCCTGAGCTGTCTATTCTTAAAGGGAAGTGAATACTTGCTTGTACAGCACTTTGTTTTTCTTTTCATGCAGACTCCACAGTCAGCACATACACTTACAGCATGAACCACTCGACCGATCTGCCCTCTTCAGTGGAAATGGCCCCTGAGGAGTTTGATGGCGGGACAGTAGTTGTGTGTGTGATCCTGGGTCTGTCATTCCTGATAGGAGCTCCGGGGAACCTGCTGGTGATCTGGACTATCCTGAGACATGTCAAGCAGCGCTCCCACACTGTGCTGCTCATCCTGCACCTGGCTGTTGCTGACCTGCTGATCCTCATCACCCTGCCTCTTTGGATCTACTCCCTGGCCCACTACTGGGTGTTTGGAGAAGCATTCTGCAAAGCCATGGTGTTCATGATCAACGCCTGTATGTATAGCAGCGTTTTCTTCATTACCCTCATGAGTGTGGAGCGCTTTGTGGCTGTGCGCTATCCGTTTGCCTCAGCTGGCTGGAAGAGAAAGAAAGCTTTGGATAAAGTTCTGCTGGTTCTGTGGACTGCAGCATTCTTGTTTAGCATACCTGTCATCCCAACTCAGGTGGTAGGGACAGATTCTGGTGAGGAGCACTGTCTATACCGGCTGTACACTTCTGTGGCCCAGGAGCTTGGGTGTGTGCTGCTGGAAACCCTGGTGGGCTACATAATACCCTTCTTCATCCTCGTCGTCTGCTATGGCTGTCTGTTCAGCCGGATTACTCAGATGACCTTCAAGTCCAAGCGCAAATCCACTGTCCTGATTGCCAGTGTCGTGGTAGTGTTTGCCATTTGTTGGACGCCTCATCACATAGGAAATGTCCTTTCAGTCATCATCCTGGCCATTCACCACTCCCTACCTCAGGCAGCAAAGAATCTGGCAAGTGTCAGGGACACCATGACCTTCATCGCTGGAGCCATGGTCTTCATCAGCAGCACTGTTAACCCCATCCTCTACATGTTCGCAGCTCGCTCCTTCAGGAGCTCTCTGAGGGACACCGGCATCCAGAAGCTCTTCCGCCATATCTCCAGCACCTCCCCAGGTGAGGGCACTAAAGAATTGTCCTTTGTGACCAAAAGACAGAGCAATCAAACAACCAACAGTTCTCACTGTGAGTCTGAGCCAAAAGACCAAATGGATATATTAATAAATATGTGCGAAAATAATCCATCCTGATATTTAAATTGCATGTGTCTGTGCCGTGTGTATATTCATGTGTGTATTTGAAATGTATTTTTTTAAAGAAATAAAGGGGCTTTTTTCTGTGATTAAACTAATTTTGTATTAAATTACAACACAGAAAAACAGGAAGTGGAAGTGTATCTGTGCAATGCTTGTTGAAATCTGTAAATTACCTTTTTTAAATGTTGAAATTGTGAACACATATTTATAAAAATGTCCCATATCGTGTAGTTAAATGTTTGCGGTATAGTTTTCAAAAATTGCACAATAAATGATTCTATAAGCAATGGACACAATGGTCTCAATGGAAGCATTTTTTAATTTATAGCTTTGTTAATGCTAACAAAGGGAAATAATGATTATGTTATTGATTCTGTGTACATTTTTTCTAATTGCCTGTAATGTGGGAACAGAACACAGAAGGTTTTTATCTGATAAGGCTGTGGTTGTGTCAGACACTTCTTATTTTTTCTGAATTGCAGCAGAGGAATATTTCACTCACAACCACAGTGTTATTGTGAACTCATGCTACAAAACAATTTATGTTGTAGTGTTAAATTCTCCTCAATTGACCATTTTATTAATCAAATAATCCAAAAGGTTTCTTTTCTTCTTAAAAAATGGTTTCCACTCGTGACAAATTAGCAAACAATTGTCCTTCTTTCCCACTAGAAACAAAAGTCAAGCCTTCAACTTCCTCTACATGAGAAGATTGCAAAATGAACAACTGCATGTTCCCTTTGCTGAGCAGCAAAAAGCGGAATCATGTCTTAATGTTTGTCACAGTCTTATAAAACTAAAACACTTTAAGAAAAAAAGCTCAGTGTCAGCTTATTCCCTTATTTTTAAATGCCTATGTCTGTCATATATTTATAACATTTAGCATTCAGTTTGTGTTGCCATCACTACAGAAAAATGCTCTTACCGACTGGCACAACCAGTAGATGGCAGTGGCACTTTGTTTTTAAATGGAATTTAGATACAATTTTAGTGGTGTCTCATTAATTATACTTTTCTTTTACTATCCCAGTATATGTATTTTCTTATCCAAGGACTGGCAAAGGTGAGACTCTCTTTTTCAGCGTAGTCTTGCTTCATACATCACAGATCTGTGTGTTGACATAGCTGCACAAAAGGAGTAAAGTCGTAGAAACAAAGCAGAGGGACATCTATATGATAAAAAAAAGACCAAATTCATGATACTAAATATAAGGTGACATTTCACTGTGGAATTATATTACTTTAGTGGGACCCAAAACCATTTTAGGCTGACACAAATCTTTGCATTTATTAATAATTGTTCATGTCGACGAGGAGCTAAAAGTAACATGCATTTGATATTAGGAATGACAATTGAAAGTTGGGATTTGGGGAAAAAACATTTAAAAGAATTGACATGGTTGTGGTTGTTGTGGGGTGTCTTTGTATGTGTCAGATACTGTGAGATGGCTCATTGTGATACTGATTTGAACTGAAGTTTTAATAACCCATTCTGAGAGTGCTTGTCACCTCTTTGGCCCTAAGTACTAGTGAGTCAGACATATTTTAACTGTGATAGTTGAACATTAAAGAGGGCAAAGGGTATGACAACAAAATTAATTTGTCAGACGTGATTACACAAAAATCATAGCTGACATATTAGACCTTTTGCTCACAGAATGATGAAGCAGCATGTGAACGAAACAACATTAGCAGTGTGGTAATGCCTTTCATTATGAGTACAATCCTACACTATGCATGGTTATGAAAGCCTTAAGTGATGGGAGGAAGAACAATTATGCAGGACACTGTGACAGCCAGCTTGTTCAGCCACAGGCAGATTCACCTGCACTGTATGAAGGAGGTATGGTAAGTTCTTCCTTCCTGCTGCTGTCAGTTGCAATTCTCCCAGATGGCTGCACATACCAAGACTCAAAATTAATTTACTCGTTCATCTGCAATCAATATTATGTGCAATTTCAAATCCTGTGATATATTTTGTATCATAATTATGTGCCATAATCTATATCCTTTTTATGTGTATACACATTTTTTACTGATGACTTACTTACTATACTTGGTGTTTCCTCCTGTTGTTTCAGTGTTGGTGCTGTAACACTGTAGAAAGCCCTTTTGTAAGACTAATAAAGGATTATCCCATCTTATCATACTGTAAATTGATAACTTTTGCCTTCAAAATTTGCCTCTCAGCCATTAAAGTTTCAAATAGTAACCAGATTAAAGTTATCCATTTGAATTGAACCAATACTTCCACTAGCTAAAAGTACACAACAGGATGGAGCTGCCAAAAGCGATGACTGAGACACGAATCTTATCCACCCCAAAAGTTTATTTCAAAGTGTGTCAAAAGTGTGTCGCCTAGTTTAACAGCTTTTACCTCTGGCTTGATAGTAGACATGCAAAACACCTCACACAACATGATACTCCTCTGAGTCCAAAGCAAAGTTAATAACTGGGTATTGGGGTGGCTCGTACAGATTGCCTTCTCGATTGTACAACTTTTTTCTAACCAGTTAAACCTGCTTGAACAAAGACTTAACACTTTGGTGCCATATCAAGACAACTTGTATAGCATGCTGATCAAGCTAAATGCTCTTTGCTGTTGAGGGGGAACATCATTATGTGTCTAGGATTTCAGCTGAAGTGTTTCCAATGTGTCCCTCAACCAATCAGACTGGTTCAGATACTGATAATTACTCTCAAATAAGTTTAAGGAGGGGAAGAGTAAGAAAACCATGCTTTCACTACCGTCTACTGGCTCATAGCAAGCAGAGATGGGAGTGTCAGGAGCAACAAAACAGGGCATTCTGGGAACCAGGCCAAAGACTGGTAAAAACTCCAGCAGGCCAGTAAGGACCCGTTAAGTTTTTGAAACCTTTTGAGTTGTACATTGTTGCCCATTTTTTATGTTTCAAATTGTATTTCACTAAAAGAGCTGCTCATAGAAAAAAGTACTGCCATGCAAAATAGGATGAGACTTCATATAGAAAAACAGATACATGAATGTAAAGTGACAGTAAGTTATAGCCTATTCCATTTCACAGTGGCACTCCCACTGAAGCAGTAGCAGAGGTTCTCAGAGGATGAAAGGTCCCAGGTTTGAAACATGAAGGAGACAATACATGTATTTGTTCCCTCTGTCTCTAATTCTGCATGTGTCTGTCTGTGTTTCTTTGTTTTGTTTCTCCCTCTTCCTTTAATTATATCCTTCCTTCATTCCATTCTACCTTTAGCTTAAATCCAAAAGTTCAGAGGGCAACTGTCATACTTCATTTTTTTTATACTGACAAAAACCTGGAGCAAGGGCTATAGGACAGGCAACATTAATACGTCTCAAAACTCAGTACAGTTTAATATTGTCTTTATTGTCGAGAATAAGATGTATCTCCCACACATTTTTGTAACCTGTTATTTGATTTAAACATTATCAGCACTCAGTCAGCACTATGAGAAGTAGACCTGCATAACTCTTTTATCATTTAATACCCAAACACACTCAAACGTTTCTCTATGTTGGCAGCTGTATAGGTGTTCTTATTTAGAAATTGCATGAATTCCAATGTTCATTAACTTTCCCCTATCAAAGTGAAACATAAGTAGCCTATGCCTCATGGAGGTATTACAGCCCTGTTTTGCCAGACTACTTCCTCATTAGCACTTCTGACCAATGAGATTACAGCACTCACCTCAAACTCCCGCCCTCACCTTTCCAAACCGGCCAATAGGCGAGGCCTTTGGAGCTTTCCTCGCTTGGAGGCCGGGCCACACAGGTAACTCAGAAAAAAAAATAGAAAGGAGAGGAGGAAAAAAAACTCCAAGGCTTGTTATGGAGTTCGTGTGAAAGAAACACGGATTTCCACCCTTCTTTACCAGTTAAACCAGTATCTCTGGATAGAGCACACTCAAGTACTTCAACAGGTAGAGTCTCCTACCGCAAAACTCTTTCGTGGCGCCTCTGAAAATAATCTCCCCTTTTTTCTCTCTCCGTTTACCTCAATTGAGTTTCTAGCCCTTTTGTTCGCTCTTCTTATCACTTGGAAAAAGGTGAACCCTCGTGTTATTTTTATTTTAATCTTTGCTTTAATTGTAGTTTTTTACCCTTGTGGTCCCTGATGGCTTCGCACAGTGATACTCTGGTGGTGTTCTTTGGGGCAACAGCTGGTGCAAATGGGGGTAAACTGGGTTCGGATGAGAGGGAAATAATTCTCTTGGTGTGGCAAATTGTGGATCTACATGAGAAAAAGGTACGGACCTTTCTGACCCGTTCGTTCGTTGTACGGTTTCTTATGTACCCAGTGTTTGTGGCATAGTGTCTACCTGTAGTGAAACAGTATGTTTGTCATTTAAACCAACATGGTGTGCTCTCTGAAACCGTCTGTAACCTGCTTTATGCTAGCTAACGCTACATCAATTCTCCGTCCAGCCGTCTTATTAGCTCACCTTTTAACAGGTGTGCAACCAACATTTATCAAGCAGGTGAGGACTGTAGTTTCGCCTCCCAGGGAAAACACACCGTTTTGGTTTAGCATGTCAGCTTGTCAATACAAACAACGCTTTTAATGACAATTGAGTGATTTTTGCAACTACATTGTCAGTTGTTTTACTTTTGTAAGAGTGCATTTCCTAAATGTGGGGGGTTTTATTATACAATTTGCCATAAATTAGCAAATCTTCCACGCTTTATTCTGCGCCATGAACCGCTAAATCCATTCACAGGTCGGGAAGCTTCATAGGTGTCTAGTGAAGCCTGACTCTTTGGAGCGGACAGACGAGTGTAAAGAGGAGACAGGGCTGACTGTGGAAGATATCCTCAAAGCTGAGCCCCTGGATACAGTTCTGCAACAGGTGAGTCTCCCTGCTCTCTTACTAGAGAGGTGCATTTCTATAGAACTAACATTTAAGAATCAGGTGTCTTTTTTTTACACTCTTGATAAAATAAAGTGTTCACTCTGTTCTTGCACACATTAGCTTGAATGCACACACAGGAACTACACCTATGCATTATCATTAAGATGAAATGTCAGAGTAGAGTCCACACTGTGTTCCTAGACCTTGAATGCCACCTTGACATCCCCAAAAATTATTTCCCTTGCAAAAAAGGCCTTAGAAGTCCTGGTGCCATTTTCCTACCGTGATAAAAAATCTCTCACTATCATTAATGTCTATGGTATGAAAACCACAGCATCGGCTTGTAACATCTCGCTGCTGTCGGTAACAATGAGTATTTCAAAAGCTAATTAAACTGAGCCAACTTTCTTCTGACAGTTAATGCCCAAAGCGCGATGAGACAAGCCTGAGATGCTATTGAGCTGCAAGTTAATGTGAAGAGTGTCACATTTACCTGATGACCTTTTAAAAATAATAGTCTTCCACCTGGTTGAGATATGACATTGGTGTTACCCTGACAGTTAAACTCTGCTGACAGTTTGTAGGAGCTCAGGGGCTAGGATAGGCACAGCCTGAGGCCTCCTAAGATTAGGAGGAGTCGCAGGTCTAGTCTTGCCTTGGCCTGATGCATGCTGTAGACATCTGGAAGGTGGAATGTTTACCTGGGACCACACCTCTGATTTACACTGCAGGACAGACAGGAGGGAAAGCTTTTCAAAACTTCATCCCCATCACACCACTTCTTCACGGCCAAGATCTACATTTGCTTTGTGGTTCCTCCCAGTCAGGAGGTGTGTTTCGACAATAGTGCTTAAGTTGCCAAACATGTTTTTCAACCACCTTTGCAAGAGTGTTTGTTTGACTGACTGCACCTTCCCCACATGTCACAGTTTAGAAAACCTATTGTTATCATGCTGGACCAGGTTGGTTGATATTAATGCCGCTGAGGTCTAAAAACAATGCATTCACAAGCAGCTTAGTTCTGGTAATCAATCAAAAATAGGGTTGTATTTTTTTAATTATTTATGGGGCTTTAAAGCGATGAGGCTCCGGGGGTTATGACAGTCAGCGCAAAGCATAAAACAGTTACAGTTTTATTGACTTTTGATCCAATTGGTGAAGTCATTTGTGCCTCAGACAGACCTGGTAAGACTTCAGCTCTACTGTAGGTTAGTTTGTGTGCTGAACCTTCAAATATTAACCCAAGCTATCAGCTCGTTCTTCTCATGCCTTTGTGTTGTTGGTTACTTTTACTCCCTCTTTGTCATTCTACGATAAGTTTGATCCCTGTTGATACTGGGAAGTAAAATACATTAACATTATTTCTAGATATGTTGAAGTGTTGTCTAAAACTGCGGTGTGCAAGCATGTGTTCTCTTTAGATAAGGTAGCCCATTCCATTGTATTCAATGATAGAAAACAAACAAGCAGAGGCCTCTTAATGGTGGGCTTGTTGTATTGACCTGTGTGGTCAGAGCCCCCAAGGACATGAGTTGGTTTTCTTTAGTGAAAGATTTATTTATGGAGAGAAAGCTAGAGGGATTAAAACACTTAGTTTTCAAGCGTTTTAATGTAAGATTCTCTACTTGGAGCACAGCTGTCAGTACTGTAATAGCAATTAGGAGTTTTAAAAGGCTGCATTACAAAAACCTGTGACTTCTCTCTTGCAATGCTGTCAGAGTAGACCAATGAGCACGAATATGGCTATAGAAGATCAAGCATATATGCGTTTCACTATTACCTGTGACCCCCTTATCACGTTATGGTGTGTTCCACACCTGCAGTTCAGTTCCTGGGAACAGCCTGATGGATAATTGACCTGCTGTCAGGCTGCTGCTGACTGTACAGGCTTTGCTTTGGTCTGGACACTGCCAACATGTCACAGCCTGTAGAGCTGCACGTGAAGTAAGACCTCACCGACATTGTTTGTTTTGTTGTCATTGTGACAGCGCTTTCAACACTTTCAGACCACAGCCAGGAATACTGACTACTGGCTTCAGCGTTGACTTAAGTAAATGACTTAGCGTTATATCGTGACATGGAAAGCATGTGGAGTCACATCTTCCAGTGATTCACACAACACTATAGCAAAAGGCTGCATAATTATCAATTTGATTTATGAACCCGGACCGACAATGATGAAGTGACTGCTGGGGGTGGTTAACGTTTCCCTTGAACAAAATGTCAAGTTAATACCTTTTTGTAAAAGGAACATCATTAAATAATGTTGATGTGTTGTGCCTGTTGCTACAATGACTGTTGACATGTAGCTAAGAAAGCAAGTTATGGGAAGAAATCTGACTGAGACAGGAAGTTACTGGAGGAGGAGGATGTAGTGCTATGACCTCATTACATCAGTCAAGTTTCCAAACCAAGTCTCACTTCATTTTGTAAATGTATTAATGTTATGCAAAAAACAATGCAGTATACTGTAAATGACAGGGCAGCTACATCTTTATTTTGAGACTGCTTCAGGGAAAGAACAAGTTTCCTTATCGTTGGCATGTATTTGTGATTTTTCCTCACACTGGAACACTTTTGCTCTTCAGGTTTTATTTGTTTCTATTGATTATCTTTTCTTTATCTTAGCTTATGTTAGTTATTCTGCTGTGCTTGGTGATGTGGCGCACCTTCCCATAGTGTACAAACCTGGCACGAAATTGGCTTAAGAATACGCACTGCCAATGAAAGATATGTCATTTACATGATTATCCGTAGTGATTGTTTCCCAGTTTGAATGGTCCCTCTGAATGCCAGCAGCGTACTCTAATAAAACATGCTGATTCGCAGTGTGTGTTTGACTTTAGGGCCTGAAACAGTTACCACAGGGCCGGCTCCGGCACTCCCTGCTGCTCTTATCAGAGTTGCTTTCAGCCACCACCACCACCCCACCTCACCTCACCTCACCTCACCTCTGCATACAGCTACACTGGAGAGCAAACTGTGATAGGACCATGTTCAAAGGCCACTTCCTCCCCCTCATCTGTGGAAATGCTTTTCAGAGGGTAGAGTGAGACTGAAAGCTGCTTTAGAGGACACTTGGAAACCTAGTGTGTACAGAAATCATGTTGGAGACAGAACTTGATGTTGAAAACATTTAACTTTTATGCTTCCTTTTTATTATACAGAATTCTATTTTTGGATTAAATGTCTCCAATTATAATTGTTATAAGTATTACATCTGCATGTTCTGCAAGTTGCAACAGGGTACAGAAGGGAAATGTGGATACTGATCTGTTGGCCCTTCAATGTAAAGCAGTTGTTCTCAAATGGGGGTACGCGGACCCCTAGGGGTACGTTGGAGTACTGCAGGGGGTACGTGAGATTTATTTTATGTTAATGGAGAAAAAAAGGGTAACGAAGTTTGAGCAGTGTGGGTTTTATATTAATAGACTAGAGTTACACATACTTCAAAACACTAAGTGTAATAACTGCAGTTTGCCTCGCTGTCAGAATGACACAGATCCTCAGTGAAGCACAAGCCCATGTTTCACTACATTGTAACTTATTAAAAAGATCAGTTCAATGCAACTAATGTCATTTTAGTGTTATTGTATGATGTTAAAATTGGTTTGCCATGAATTTAGAGATGGATTGTAAACATTTGAAATGTAGCATTGAAGTGTTTCTCAGTTACAAGGTTGTTGTTTTAATAAATCAGACACTGATGGTGCAGCGCTGTACTGCACCTCTTTATATAGGCTTTTTCCCCTAACAAATAGTTTTTGTGCTGATCAGGGGGTACGTGGCTGAATTATTTTTTCAAAGGGGGTACATGATTGAAAACAGTTTGAGAATCACTGATGTAAAGGACTTAAATACTATACAGATCATGATGTTCATGAGCCCGTCTTAACGTCCTGTTGTTTCTACTAATCTGTTGTCACTGTGGGATTTCTCTTCTGTTCAGCTTGTTTGCTCAGTTCAAATGTTTTTTTGACACAGTGGAGAAAGGGAGTGGGTGTGCCACTACGTCATCTGAAACATTTGCTTTTCTCTCCGAAATCCGGCTTTAGTAATTTGCCAAGGTGGAGCTGCGTGCACAGCTATGAGCAAACACTACTCCTGTTATCACTGCCAACATGACATTGTCCTGTATGGTTACGCCTGCAAAGTGCTGGTGGATTAATCTACACAACTGTGGAGTAACATAGTTTTGGATTTCTGTGTTTAACGTCAGAACAGTAAAAGCTTCAGGTATTAAGTGGGATTAAAGATGGTACCTGACTTTTTCTTATTATTTTAGAGCGTTTAGACCCATGCTACTCCTTGAGAGAAATAAAAACACAGCAGAGACTGACTTATTGAGAATATACACATTAAATGAGTGAGGGAATTCAAATGTAGGTACTTAAATCCCACAAACGTTGTCTTTTACTTCTTGTTTTCTACTTACTTTACTATCTTGGTAAGGGCTATAATCCAAGGTGTGCTGCTTAGTTTAGCGGTACTGTATCATAACAATTGAAGAAAAGGGAAGGTAGATTGTTGTTGCCAAGACATTTCAGATATTTATTTTATTGTATAGCATGTATGATAATTATAGCCCCTGAAATAGAACAATTTGTGTCTGGGTTCCACCTTTTTAGTTTATCATAATATTGTGGTGCAGCTACATGTGGCGTGTCCTTTCACTAAAATGAATCGTTAACCTATTGTTCTGGCATTCAGTTTATTGTAACCGCCCTTCATTATAAGTCAGTCAGGTGTGGAATTAAAATGACAACACAGCACAACCTTCATCCTGTTGGGAATCTGTGGTGTGATGTCAATTAAAAACCCCTGTATCAGATCCGGGTCACCATGCAAACATTATTTTAAATTATTATTTTAAATAATTATTAGACAATGTAAAAAAAAATACATAAACATACATTATCTTTTGAATGTTGTACCCACTCTGTAACGTGTGTTGTAATATCTGCAAGTTGTCTTTTTGGCTTTAGTAAGGTAGCTGTGACTTTCTGCCACTAAGAACAGCTCTCGTGTTAAGCCCAATTACTCAATATCATTGTAAAACAAAGCTTTTTTTTCTGCTTTCCTTCTCAACTGAGCCATAGAACAACTTTTGGAAGCTGCAACCAGCAAGATGTTTGATTTTTGTTAGTGGTTTCACATGACCTTAACCCAGAACAGGGGCTTAGTGAATGAATGGTAATGACTGTCGATGCCTAAAGTCATTTTTGCACAACTGCAAACATATTTCCTTAATAGTTTGCAAATATTTGTAATTCACGGTTTAGCGACCAGTGATTATAGGTCTGATTGTGTTCATGGGCCCTAACTGTTTTTTCTTAGATCAATGATTCTTTCAGCTTTCTGTCCAGACCCCCCAAAACCCCCAAATCTAACCCAAGGCATTTGTTCCCTTGTCAGCAGCTGGTAAGCGTTGCCAAATAGTCCTGCATGACTGTTGGGGAGCATGCCTAAACACGCACCTCTAATACTCTCCCACTGTCTGAGGATAAGTCATATATAGCCAACGGCCATGTGAAACTAGGCAGTCGCCCTCACACTGAGACAGTCTAATTTAGCACTTACACTGGTGACTTTGAGGGGGTTAGGGAAAAAAGAATAACAAAGTTCTAACAATTTTCTAAAGTGGCCAAAGACACGAGCAAAAGCTACTCCCTGTTTGCATTGGAACATTAGGCCGCAAGGGAAGACCAGAGGCATTTAGGTCCATGATTTCAGAAAGATTTCAGTTTGACAGTATCACGCAAAGCTCGTCTTTATCCACATTGAATCAACCAACTCCTAGTATGTGAACGTGTTACTCGTACTGAAGATCTCGTTGAGAGTCAACAGCTTTCACCTGTCTCTATGTACAGTGGAGTCGCATGTAAACACGTAAGCATCCGCTCTCTACACAACTGATTAAATATTTAGCAAGCTAACATTATCAGATATTTTGACGATGAGCTGGCACCTAAATAAAATGTCATAGAAATGGTTTAACATGGTGTTATTTTTCTGAGACGGTAATCAAACGATGATATTCTCACATGGTTAGGTTGGGCCTCAGAACTCTGTCCTGTGACCTCGGATGTCATTTTCCTGTATTTGTTGACATTTAAGTAATGGCTTCTGTTGACAGTGAAATGTTGCCAAGAACAGGTTGACACAACAAAACGCTCATTTAATGTGGTAGTTATAAATAAACATGTACATACAGTATGTGGGAGCTGCTGGTATGAAGGATTGTGTGTTGTAACTGTCAGCGTAAACTGTAAAGGCAGGTTGGACCCGTAGTACCCGTACGGGTTGTTTTTCCTCCGGCTGTGACCGTTTGTCGTGCTGAGAGAAAACTGTGATTAGTGGTGTGATCATTCCTCTCCTTTGTCTGCTCCCTCCCTCGCTAGACAAACACTGAAACCGGTTAGCCTCGTTTGTAATAAGAAACAAACACGCAGTCAAATGTCAAACACGCCACCTTCACTTGTATGCCTTTAAGATTAAAGAACATTGTAATTCTCACTTTTACATTTTAGGTGGTGTTTGCACATATTTTAAACCAGATATTGCTATTTTCTTATAAATGTTTGTAAAGCAATGTGAATTAAATCATTCTAAATAAAGATGGTTTTGATTTTTTTTCCTTTTAATGGGCACATATTCTGAAGTATTGTGATAGTGTTTCATTTTCTTTTCGCCTTCCTTTTTGTTTCTTTATGCAGTTCCAGCAGTCGGTGTCATCCGAAGTGAAATCCCTCGGCAGAAGCTCGTTCACACTTTGTGTCGACAGTCCGCTCGTCATCCGACAGGCGCTCCATCCAGAAGCTTCCACAAAGGTAATGGTTCATACTGTTGTTGCACACGCCTGTTTTAACCATAAAGTCACATTTTAGACTTGGAGATACAACAAGAAAATGTTTCTAGTAGCATTTATCATTCTGCATTTGCAACACAATAAAGGCTACTAGAAAAAAGAAATGTGTATCTCCAACGTACAATAAGTGTTTTGCATGGAACAATGGCAATTGCTTTGTTCAAATGAAATGTCTTAAATGTGTATGTTTCCATTAAAGTTTTGCTAACTGCAGTTATCCCACTAAACAAATCAATTTGTCGTTCTCTGTGCATGGCTCCAGTGACATCATAGTGTCTGTGATAAGCATGCGGAAACCAAACACACTGTTCATTTCCAGAACTCAGTTAAATGCGCGTCAACGTAAGGATTTGTTACCCTCACGAACGTGGGCATTGTGCAGTATTAAGAATGAATGCATTTCATTGGAATTATTATTTTCTCTTTTTTCTTTCCTGGTATTACCACAAGAAGATATATTTACATTTCATCTTTGCTTACTGCTGTGTCCATGTTGTCATACTGAATCATTTGTTTTTTGTCTATTTTTCAGAATCTCGTCCTTCCTGAATGTTTCTTTTCATTTGTGGACTTGAAGAAAGACTTTCAGAAATGCTGCCCCGACGCCACCGCTGCACAGCAGCTCACACCTGCCTCCATGTTGGAATGTATCCTTACTAACATTACTGAGAGATTGTTCTAAATGCTGCCATTAACTGTATATTTCAGGAATAAGACAAAATTCTCTTTCTTTCTTCTTAGTTTTGGTTAACTGATAAAGTAGGCCTAAAACCCGACAGCAAGTCACATCAGCAAGTAGTACACACAAACGATAGTATCCTGGACAGTGTCCTTAACTGTGAGTGTAGATGTTGGTCTCCCAGCTGTGTCGGAGCAGTCGATGGGAGAGACGGAGGTGAGCAGCATGGTGCAGCTGACCCTCCACCTCCTGGCTGAGCCCTACAGTAAGTCACCACCACATTGAATCCACTGGTTTTGTCTTTAGTGGGAAAGTTCTGTTCATTCATTTCGGGCAAAAGTTAGGCTGTAGGATTATAGGTATGTTGCAGCTCCATCTTTTAGTTGCAGTGAGTTCATTCTTACCCTTTTTTTTTTGCGCAGATATGCTATAAAAACCGGTGTAATTACCTGATGTTTGGGGATATAAAATCAACTCTGTGACTGCCAAATCAAAGTCTTTGTATTCTAACAAAACCTGTCTTGCACATTTGAATAGCATGGAATCTTTGAACAAACCCAAATGTCACAGTGAAAAACACTTCTAACTTTAAGGTGTGGTAGTTTGTTAATCACATAATATCTTGATTATATTATTGCTAGCCAGAGGTCCTTCTATACTTAAACAAACATTAGATGATTAACTGCAGTACAGATGGATGTTATATGACTCCAGATATGTTGAAGTGCAAATAATAAATCAAAACTTAAAGCGCCATCTTGTATCTCGACTGTGGCAGTCGCCTCTGGCTTTACCCCCTTAATAACAGCCAAGCATGTCTTTGGGTGTGACAGTAACAGGAATGCAGAGGGCTTGAAACACACACTGTTGGCAGGGCGAACCTGTTCACCACAGAAAGGAGAGAACATTGTTTTGGACCTACAGGATGAAACAGCACACTCAATCATACAATTATATGTCTTTGTTTTATTTTAGACCACAAGTTCTCCTGTGTGGAAACGGTGAAGTACAAGTTTGATTCTGGCACATGGTATGTATAAACTTTTCATTTATGTACATGTATCTCACTTAATCTCTGCTCCTAACACACCTGTTTGTGTACAGACTGCCCCCCCCCCTCCTCCAGCCATTTTCAGCATTGATTACAGCTACTATGAAACCACAAGTGTGTCATTAAAGCTGTCCAACTTTGCCATCAAGTGCTTACCTGGCTATCTAGTAGCAGAACACCAAATCCTGCTGCTCTCAGACAGGGAAAAGCCTATCACCTTGACAACCCCCTGACATTTAATCATGTGTTACAGTGGTAAGCACTTACTGCGAGTGGCCTCTGTGTCTGCAATCTGTAGACAGTTTGATCAAACTTAACAAAAGCGTGGTGCTTTTTCTTAAAGCTAAACTAATCAGCAGGGTTTTGAATAATCTGTTTCTTATAATTCCTCTTTAGTAAGTTTTGTTTATATGTCGTTAATGTTTTTTTTTTACCCTCTTCAGCAGCAAAACAGAGCCGGTGGACAGTGAGACGGTGATCAGAGCGCGGGGACTTCCATGGCAGTCTTCTGACCAAGACATCGCTCGCTTCTTTAAAGGCCTCAGCATTGCCAAGTATGTTGGACTTCATAGACACAATTCCTTAAGCCACCTTAATCAAATAATTTTTATTAAAACTCCTACAGGAAAACATTTAAAGTGATTTATAGAGCTTTCAAAGTATTAGGGTGCAGATTTGATTTCACTGCTCAGGCATTTTCAGTGTTTTCAAGGTTGTATAAAATGCTTATTTGAATGTCCAATGGAGTTTTCCAAGATGAATGTAAAATGCTTATGTCATGTGTTTAAACACTTATCAGTTTTGTACAGTAGGCCAAAATAGTTGTAAGCAAATCCATGAAACCTCAAGGCATGGCTGTAAAATATTAAAAAGATTAGCTTGAATATAACAAAAGTACGGAAATATTAGGATTGGAGCTGCTTTGATTAGCAACGCCTTGATCTGCCACTGTTCTTGAGCAAATATATTACGTATATTTATAGCTTTCATTTTATTTATGACTTTGTAGGAAGACCTGTGCCGGAATGAGACATCGCTTTAAAAGCTTAAAATAGCTTTCCTGGAGTTTTTCTTGACCAAATGATCTGTGTTGGTACTCATGTTTGTCTCTTTGTGTTTCAGGGGTGGCGTGGCCCTGTGTCTGAACGCTCAAGGCAGGAGGAACGGTGAGGCCTTAGTTCGTTTCATAAACTCGGAACACCGGGACCTGGCTCTCGAACGTCACAAGCACCACATGGGCAGCCGCTACATTGAGGTTATTCTCTCTTTTCTTTTAATTCTTTGCTAAACACAATATCACTTTTAGGTTTTGCTCTTTTGTGTGAATCTCTGAAATGTCTTCTAAACTAAATGATTAATAAATAAAGTGCTTCAATGCCTAAATCTAGTTTTCCTCTTGTCGACTCAGGTGTACAAGGCCACAGGAGAGGAATTCCTCAAGATTGCAGGAGGTAAGATTTCAGATCTGTTTTCCCTCTCTTCTCCTCTCCATGTTTGTATGGGCACTCGTAGTGAAAGGCTTTCTGTTTTTGTGAGGTAGACTTTTATTTCAAGGCTTCCCGCATCTTTGAGGAAAAACAAAAACACACCTGTAAAAAGGGCAGCTCTTTAGTGACCGTTAAAAACAGGGGATCTCATTTGCTCTCCGGCTCTCTCTCCTATTACCTGTGACTTTGCCTCATCCCAGTGACTCTCCTGCAGCTTATCTGGTACTAATGAAAGACGCTTTGTGAGGAGCTTCCCCCCTCTGCCCCCCCCCCCCATCCCTTCCTCACCTCCTCATCCCCATCTAAGTCCTGCAGAGGCCAGTTGGAGAGAAATTTCACTCTCGGCTAACAGCGGCTCACCTGTTCAATGCAGCCTCGAGCGACACTCCCCCGAGGGGGAGACGGCTGCCGGCCGGGGAAAGGACCGGCTCAGTGCTGACACAAAGAGGGTGTGAAGAGACAAAGGCAGGGTCTGGGGTCTCTGGACCGCAGAGCAGCAGCCTCCAGTAACACAGGACAGAGATAACACACAAAGGAACAGTCACAGAGCAGATAACTGACAGTGGCTGCCGGTCCCACTGTGGACTTTACTCAAATGAGTTAAGATCAGCACATTGGACTCCAAGCAAACACTGTAGGTCCAGCAGACAAGATACAAGTGCATTTATCAATAGAAATGAAAGCAGTTCACTATAACCGTGTAACTATATGTATAATCCAAAACCTAGTGATCATGCACCGACATTGTGTAGGAAAATGTTATATTGTACCATAAAGAGCAATCAACAAATATGGGCTTGGCATCTCCTGGCTAGTAGTAGCATGAAGAGGGAGAATAACAATAAATGTGGCTCCACTAATTAGAAGGTTAGTGGTAACAAGTTCAACCCTGGCCCCTGCAGTACATGTCAAAAATATCCGTGCAGCAAGATACTAAAGCCCAAATCGATTTCCATATGAGTGTACTTCAAATGTATCGCTTGTGATTAGCAAGTAGCACCTTGTAAGGTAGCCTCGGATCCCAGAGAGTGAATTGGTTGACTAAGACTAAAACACAAACGCCGTTCATTAACCATGCGTTGTCTAAAGAGTGTTACTGGGATGGTCGTGTGATGCCAGGTGTTTAAACATTTCTGTTCTCTGACTCCAGGCACGTCTAACGAGGTGGCCCAGTTCCTGTCCAAAGAGAACCAGGTGATAATCCGTATGAGGGGCTTGCCCTTCACCGCCACATCCCAGGAAGTGCTGTCCTTCCTCGGCCCCGAGAGCCCCGTCACAGACGGTGCGGAGGGTCTGCTCTTTGTCAAGTACCCCGATGGACGGCCCACCGGCGATGCCTTTGTGCTCTTCTCTTGTGAAGAGTACGCCCAGAATGCCCTGAAGAAGCACAAGCAGATCCTGGGGAAGCGCTATATCGAGCTGTTTCGGAGTACTGCAGCGGAGGTGCAACAGGTAAAGGATTTTATATATGAGGGGTTGTAGAAAGATTTGTACATTTTGTCAGACTTTTAAGAATACTGCTAGGAAAATGTACTCACACACTACAACAAGGATCACAAATCCATGTCATGAAGTTCCTCCCTATGCGTGATGTCAATGACCGTAGACCGACCACAACAGAACGTTTCTAAACAACTGGTGTCATGATCAGTGAGCTGACAGGGTACCGGAAGTATATTACTAAACAGTTGAGACGTTTGCGCAACTGAAAATAATTGTTTTATTATGTCACAACGTATGTGTGTATTGTTGTTTTGTCATCACCCTGACAAACTGTGGGAACTTTGTGACCCTCAGTACAGTTATATTGGCTGGGAAATGTTAATAGAAAGTAGACTATACTTGATTTAACCTTATTTTCATTTGTATGTCAGTCTAGTTAAGGCCTTTTTGTCTTTGTCTTTTTTTCCCTTTTTAAAAAAATAAATAATTAGGATCCCCATTAGCACTAGCATGAGCATTGGCTATTCTTCCTGGGGTCCTCACACAAAACATACATACACACACATACATAAACATACATAAAACAAAACAAAAACAAGGCAAGCTTTATACCAGAGTTCCACTGTGGGGAATAGCATGAAATGATTATTAACCGTAATAGATTTAAGGCAGGCAACGAGCAGTAATGACTTTTCAGATTCATCATTCTCATCGTCTTTGCTCTCTAGGTCCTGAACCGCTACATGTCGGCTCCTCTGATCTCCACCCTCCCCCCCTCCCCCATCGTGCCGGTCCCGGTCATGGCCCAGCCGTACCTCCCAGCGGCCAGCAGCAGTCGGGACTGTGTGCGCCTGCGAGGCCTGCCCTACACCGCCGGCATCGAAGATATCCTGGAGTTCATGGGAGAGCACACCGTGGACATCAAACCCCACGGAGTCCACATGGTGCTCAACCAACAGGTCAGACTGCTGGGGGGTCAGAGACAACATGTAACTGTGAAGGTTCACAGTCTTAAAACCATATTGAATGTCGCTCGTCTTGTTTTTTGGTCATGTTCATACATTTTTGTATTGTAGCAAGTATTTAAGCACAGATAAGATCTCAAGCTGTGACATGTTTTGTTAGAATTTAACTTAATCCGCCAGCCCCAAACTTCACCTACTTTAAGCCAAAGCCACTTTCTTGTAATTTTAGAATTTTTGGGAGAGTTGTTAAAGTTATTCTTGTGCCTTTTGTGTCTTTTATTCATTTTGTCTGTGTCCTCCTTTATCCTCTTCTACAGGGTCGGCCCTCTGGTGACGCTTTCATCCAGATGAGATCACCTGACAAGTCGTTCATGGTGGCCCAGAAGTGCCACAAGAAGACCATGAAGGACCGGTACGTGGAGGTGTTCCAGTGCTCCACGGAGGAGATGAGCATCGTGCTGATGGGAGGAACCCTGAACCGCAGCGGCCTCTCCCCCCCGCCCTGCAAGCTTCCCTGTAAGAGACCACCTCCACCAGTTGAGACTTATAGCAGTGTTAGGATTGTCTTTTCCTATAATACATAATATGTACTGACACTGATTAATTTAGAAATGCTGCCCGAGCTATTAGGCTGACACCTTTCATGCCTGCATTGTTCCTGTGGATTTATCTGTTATTATTTCCAAATAGTCTTTAGTAATGTTTACAGCTTACTATACAACGCCTATATACAATACAGCTTTGTCTCTGCTCTCCTTTGAAACACAAATGCCGGTTCAGACTGGACTGAATGCAACTCTGTACTTTGCTCTGTATGGCTCATATCTGTCTATGGGACTGGAGATTAGATTGGATTGGCAGCCATTGAAGAGCATTTTCATTTTAGGTTGATTCAGTTACTTCCTGAGAGATGTCTTTTCCCCCTTCTACCTACTAGAATTAGAGTTATGGTGATTTCTTCTTGCCCTCACTACCGGAATCACATCACAAAGTCAGCAGTGTTTTGTGTCACTGTGTTGGCACTGAGGGTCACCACAGCAGCCCACAGCCTCACACTGATAATGGCTGTTTGTATGTAAATACAGCCACACTGGCATTTGTGTTTGTTTACATGATAGGTATGACAACCTGAAGGACACAGTAAGCTAAATAAAATACCTGGCTGGGTATACAGTTTGTTTTTTTCCCGGCATGATTCTGGTCTGATGGCTTTTGCAAAGGAAACATTTCTTAATATTTGTATAAATGTGGCTGCTCTGTCCTCAGCTGCCTTCTTGTGACACATGCAGACAGACCAAATGATCGATGTCTGAATGTACATCTTACAGTACATCATCTGAATTTTAGTCTTACAGAAACATGTGTGGTTTTGGTAACGTTTATGGACACACTTATGATGGCTCAACAGTCTGATTTCATGACTGCTTTTTTTGCTATCCCCTAAATCAGGGGTGTCAAACTCAAATACACAGTGGGCCAAAATAAAAAAAATCGGTACTAGTCGAGGGCCGGACTGGTTCAATGTTTATTGTAAAACTATTTGAAGTTAACTTATTGCACGTAGTAAACCTGGAACTAACAAAGCTTAAATGATTGCCTATAAAAACAACATTAAATAATCAGTTGCATTCATTTCTTATGGCTCTATCTGCAGAGTCATTTCTTATGATTACATTTTTCCACAGGCCAACAACAGCTTCAAAAAAACAATTTCCCTCAAAGAACAAACCAAACATGCCCTGTTGTCTCAAGAAACAAAGTGCAGAAGGAAACATCCATTAAACTCAGTGTGCTGCTCTGTGATGCTAGTTCAAGCCATATACTTGGCATCTCATCTTGGGTCAAAGGTCATCAATGTTTGGGCTCAGGCTCTGAGTGGAGGAAATCCTCAGGATTGAGTGAAGGTGTGCGTGCAATATACCGGCGGGCCAGATCTAATAGTAATTTCAATGTATCCTGCGGGCCGAAATTAAATCCACCAAGGGCCTGATTTGGCCCCCGGGCCTTGAGTTTGACACGTGCCCTAAATCCTCCTCTCTTTGTGATGACATTACTTCTGGCCAAGACGCAGATTGTCATTTAAAAAAATAATAATTAAATCTCTTGTTCACATGTCTTGTCTTATTACACCATCAGTCTAAACCCCAACAATGTTCGGTTAACAATTTAGTATATTCCAGACTTCTTTAGTAAGAATTGGTACATTTTCTACCTTCAGTCTGATGTTACGTCTCTCAGACACATGGTGATGTAAGTAACAATAAGGTCACATGGTTTCGCAGGCTGTTGAAATCCTCATGCAGCGTGTTGTTACCGTTCCCTTACTTCTCCGTATATGACAGGACTGTGCATGTACTGAACACAGCATGTGAATGACCGGATCCTCTCTGTCTGTTTCTGCAGGTCTGTCCCCCCCCACAGCCTACGCCTTCCCCACCCCCCCCTCCATGCTCTCTGAAGCGGCCCTCTACCAGTCCCCCCTGCTGGCTGCTCCCAGACCCCCCCAGAGCATGACACACAGCCCTGCTCACGCTCTGGCCTACTATCCCCCCCAGCCACACATGTACATGAACATGAACATGAACTACACAGCGTACTACCCCAGGTTAGTGTCTCATCAGCTACATCTTCATCGGTTTGTACCCTTTTGTTCTTTCTATCTTTACTGACCAAACTATCTCTCTCTCTCTCTCTCTCTCTCTCTCTCTCTCTCTCTCTCTCTCTCTCTCTCTCTCTCTCTCTCTCTCTCTCTCTCTCTCTCTCTCTCTCTCTCTCTCTCTCTCTCTCTCTCTCTCTAGCCCCCCAGTGTCCCCCTCCACAATGAGCTACTTTGCAGCTCCACCTGGATCGATGGCAGCAGCGGTCGCAGCCCAGCCCCACCCTGCAGGCTCCGCCTCCTCCGTAATGCCGCAGCCTGGAGCCCTGATGAGGATGCAGGGCCTGCCCTACAACACCGGGGTCAAGGACATCCTCAGCTTCTTCCAGGGATACCAGGTCAGCACATGTTGCAGATAAATAACCACAGATATAAAAGTGTACAGGGATGTAAATACAACCCAAAGATGCCCAGTGTGTAAATGTGTTTCCAAGAAAAAAACAGATATTGTGCTCTATTTGTGAAATTATGAAACCTTTTGGATTAAAACTGCACCTTATTTGAAGCAGGCCCATTGCAATTAGTTTAAACCATTAACAGCAGCCCCTTGATAATGAAAGTACATCTAAATGCTGACCAGGATAACAAGAGAGAATCTCCCCACAAACTTTAACCCCATGTGAAGGACCTCCGAGTGCAGCTATGAAGATTTACCCTTTACCAAGTCACACCACAGTAGGATTCAATTAAAAGACATGTGTGCACTTGTCCCCCCTCCCTTCTCTGTGCTGCCCATATTTTTCTGTTGCCAGACTAAATGAGGTGGAGTCCTCTGAAGCAGGTATGAACCCTGACGGGTGCGGCCTCAGACGGTTTGGCACGACAGGGAGTGGAGAGGGGTGTGAGGTGGAGGGGTTGTGCTGTGGTTTTTGTATGGCATATGATGACATTTAGTATCAGTACAACAATTATATATGTGTGTGTGTGTGTGTGTGTGTGTGTGTGTGTGTGTGTGTGTGTGTGTGTGTGTGTGTGTGTGTGGTGTGTGTGTGTGGTGTGTGTGTGTGTGTGTGTGTGTGTGTGTGTGTGTGTGTGTGTGTGTGTGTGTGTGTGTGTGTGTGTGTGTGCTGTGTGTGTGTGTGTGTGTGTGTGTGTGTGTGTGTGTGTGTGTGTGTGTGTGTGTGTGTGTGTGTGTGTGTGAGAAAAGGGGGGGTAGGAACCTTTTTTTTTTTTTTCTTACTTGCACTCTGGAGATCTCTACATGCTGAGGGAGTTCATGAGAAGTCTATCTGTGAGTAGATCTGACCCCAGGCCTGACTTTTGGCTGAAGTTCTGTAATTGTATCTCTGAAGGAGTGAGTGTGTGTTTTTCTGGCTGCAGCAGCGTCTCTCACACGGCCCCTGGGTGAGAGAAGAGTTCCCACACCAGAACTGGTCTCCTTCACCCCCCCCAGTCCCTAACTATTTCAAACTGTTTTTATTTTGTTCCTATTATAGCCTTTACAGCACGTTTTTGGTTTGTGTGTTTTTAAGTCTTCCTCAAGGAAGTATTTTTGAGAGTGTATACCTCTTCATCTTGTGTGTATGTAAAGCTGTGTACTGCTCAAAGCCTCCCCCCCCCATCCCCCTGACTGTGCGTTCGTTATTGTGCCGTCTGTAGTACGCCCCTGAGGAGTACAGCGGCATGGTTCAGATGAGCCATCAGGCCAGGAGTCTGATTCAGCCCAAAGAATGGCTCTGTCTTTAGGCACTCACCCCAAGGTAAGAGGAGCCCCCGACCAAAGAGACCCAGAGTGGGCAGAGAGGGCATTTCCTGCACTTAAATAACATCTATATGTTGAGGCTCATGCACAATATGCAGCACTGGACAATGAGCACTGATGGTGATTTGTGTTAACAGTTTAATAAGGTTGGTTGAATATGGAGTATATATTTTAAATGTCATACTCCAGCATTATGTTATATAAAGTATTTCAGTAAATACATGTGTAGCATGTGCCAGGTACACGTTAACATATAGCAATTTTCTACGTAAATAATAGCATATCTTTTAACTAGCAAGTCATTGAACCAATGCTTTCTGTGACCAAACTAGTTAGCTCCCTGAAGCTAAATGCTAAATCCTTGCAGAATAGAAGCTTTCACACCAAGTACTTTGCCGTACTTAGTTCATGAGAACTTAGTTCATGAGAACTCTTTAGTTCTGATGAACTCTTTAGTTCTGATGAGCTAAAGAGCAGATCGCGTTCACACCGGAATAAGTCCCTGAGGGAGGATTAGTCAAATGAAGCCGCTGACGTCACTGCGTCTTCTTCTGCTTTGGGTTTACTGGCAGGCCGCAAATAACTTCACGGCGTATACTGCCACCCGAAGTCCCCGGCCGGACTGGCTTCAGCCTTTGTTGTGTTCAAAATTCCAGGAAAGACAGATGACTTCTAAGTTTAAATATTTATTATGAGAGAGCAAAATATATATATATATAGTCACTTGGCCAAGGACTCCGTCACGTCATAGAAATTACAGGCTGTAATCTGTAACCACTATTTCCGGAAAAGAGCCTCGAACCTCGTGCGTGCATACATTTTTATTACACAGGGCGTTGCCCGTACATTTATGATTGGTCAAGACTAGCTGAAGAGATACCATGGTTTAGACTTGGTTCTCTTTGGTAGGTGCACAGACTCAGAAAAAAGTCTCTTGGCAACACGATCCTCCAATTAGCATTCGTCCGGCCTGTGGAAGTCCCTCCCATCACAAGGAATTTATTTTTTCTGAAGCTTTCTGCAGATATAGTGGAATCTTCATAATGCTGCTTCCTAGCTGTGTGTGGGACCTTTCCTCATGACTCCACCGCTGCCACGTTTTAGTTTGTGTTGCCATAAGTCTCTCTCCGTTGGTGTGCTGGGCTAATGCTAATAATGCTAATGCGAGCAAATAAAATGGCGGCTTCACAAATTTTTTTGGGAGTTTTACGGGGAGTGGTTTGCAATCCGCCCAGCCAATCAGAAATGGGAATCTTTTTCTCCCATGAAAGTGCTTGCTCTCTAGCAGGGACTGAAAAGAGAGTGGAAAGGTTCTCATGAACTAAGTTCTAGTTCCGGATCGTTTTGGTGTGAACGCACATTTTCGGAACTATACTGGGAAAAGTACTCCGGTGTGAAAGCGCCTATTGTAGCTTCCTAAATAATGCGAGTGTGAAACTATGGATAATTAATGCGACATGAAATATCTCACAAAAAATCCATGATGACAAATCACCACACACACCATTAAACACACGCCAGCCTTATGATACATTTCCAGCCCTAATCAAAAGGAATGCCCGATCTACCCACCGAAGCTCTGAGCTCCTGACCCGCATGTCGACCCGCCGCTTCCCAATCTGCCTCCTCCCTGACGTCTGTCCTGTGGGCCTGATAGGAGTGCTGAGTCCTGACACTTAAATAATAACCCATATCACACACAATGTATGAGATATTAGGAACATTTAACCACTGTTTGGGTAATTAAGTACTTGAAGGAAGTGACTACAGGTTAAAACAATTGTCACGATTAAAGAATGTAGATATGATAGTTGATATATCATTTTACAGCTTAGACTTGTGGCTGCACCGCCTCCTGCAGATAATTTGCATGCTTGTAAAATATGACACCCGCTCCTAGCAGGAAGTTTGGTGTTGCAATAAGTCTTTTGAGGATCATTTATTGTCATTGAGCAACACAGAAAATGCAGTTACAACCTGGTGGATTGATGCCACACCAGACAATCGACAATTGAGACCTTGAGATAGATTGTGCTATAAATGGTAAATGAACAGTATTTGTATTACTGAACAGAACAATAAGACAAACATTAAGATGCTTTCTTTTAATTCTGCCTCTGCTTACATAAATATAAGTGTCAGTCGGTCTTGATTCAGCACTCCTACACTGAACCTCGTCATGCAAATTGTTTCCTAAACATTGCCTAAACTCTTCCTCGACTCTTTCCAGTGAACGTCCTGAACGCAGCGCCTCCCTCTCTCCTGCTCTCACATGTTACTCTCCAACTCATTTCATCAGTGTGTTGTTTCGAATCTGCATGTCTTAAGAATGTATCTCCTTTTGCATTATAATTGATTTTGATGTTGATGCATGCAAACTAAGGGGTAGTTCCTGTGTGGCACCCCCCACCTGCCGCTGGGTTTCAGCTGCTCTGGGAACAGCATGTCCTCTGCTTCTGCTCTTTAAGCTCTGCCCATTAATCCTTTTTTCCCTACCTAACTGGACCGGTTTGATGAGCTGATCTTCTCCAATGTTCCTCCTCGGCTTTGTGGGCTCCCCCTGGTGTTTTCACAGTGGCGCTGCATCAAAATACTTAATGTGTCTCCTCTTTATAACTGCAGCTCCAGCCAGACGCCGTGCTCATCTTGTACAACTACAGCGGGCAGTGCAGCGGCGAGGCGTTGATCACCTTCCACAGCGAGGAGGTGGCCAGGCGGGCCGTCAGCGAGCACGCCAACAGCCCCTTCTACGGCCAGCCGGTCCGCATGCTCCTGATCCACTGACCTGCTCTCCATCTCTCTCGTCCTGCAATTTAACCCCCCATTGAAGAGCACTCATCTGCCAATTGCTTTACATGTAGCAGCAACTTTTTAATTTGATCCCAGTGCCACTAAAAAACAATATTAAAAAAAGCCCTCCCTTTTCCCTGATCTGTCATACTGACACCGCTCACCCTGACACCGCCTGTCCTGACACTCCTGAAGCAGCGGCTGGAGTTTGAGTATCCACTGGTGACGCCTCATGTCGGGCTTATGACTCTGTGGATGTTACACACATTAGTATTTGAGCCTACTGTAATAGCTGGTTGTGGAGACTAGAAGGTGAGGAGCCTGGACAAATATGCATGTATATTTAAATGCTCTTTATATGCCCCTCCCCATATGACTGTACAGATGTTCATCCTGAAATGCTTGAGGCTTTACGAACCACTTCTGCACACCATATTTTCTGTATATTTCTTATTTTTTCCCTATTAACCACAACAAGGATTTTCAGAGTTTATGATTCTGCGTGTTAGCTCGATGCTAACACAGATGTGTGCATGCACACTGTTTATTGAGTTGATGACCTCCAGCAGTGTAGTGGTGCCATTAAAATGATAAAAAGAGAGAAGCCATGAAGACTACTGAAGCAACAGTGAATATCAAACTGTACTGCTCACTGGATAATTTATAACTAACCTTGGCTGCAGTGACGATTGGTTAAAACGACTACTTTTCTGTTAAAAAGCATTTATGAGTTTGTCAACCCATTGAGACTTTTACAAGCACTACAAATTTATTTTCTCTAATGTAAGAGTTAAGTGACAGAGCCTCTTTAACTGAGTGGAACGACAAATTAATTCCATTTTTATTAACTTCACTTCCTTACATTTTGATATATGACCAGAGGCGTATCTCGAAGCCTTTTATAATGATCGACCCCAGCTACTAGATCTCTTCTGTTTTGGTTTCCAACGATCAGTCTGAAGCTGCTTTAATTCCTGCTTCTGACCGAGTACTGTGTAAAAGCTGCAGGAGTTGTTCTGTGACAGGCCTGCCGACAGCTGTCTGAGTTTATCCCCTCCCACTTTTTACCATGCCTACATTACCCAGAGTGCAATACTGGCCAAAACTAGGCTAGGTCAACCTCTGGTGGCAGAGGAGAAATGTATTTCTTTTGTTGCAAGTTTGACACTTGAGTTTATATCTGTGTATAAGTCAATACAATAAATAATGTTAAAATCTATTCATGTTTCATGTGGTCTCATTTTAAGAGATGCAATCGTAAGGTCCTAATAAAACCAATAAGTAAATTTGCCAAACAAAGAAATGTATATGATCTTTTTAAATGTGATGTGGAAAAGCCTCCCGTCCGACCTGAAGTCACCGGGCGAGAACATACATTTTTATAAAGATACAACAATTAATCAAATTACTTTTGATTGCACTGCTTTATGCAATTATAATTGTTTTAATAACACTAGAGGGTGCCACATCTGGGATTTTAAATGTTACACATATTACATGTAATTTATACATTTAACCCTGCATTGCTTGATAAGTCACCTTTTTATACTAACTTGCCTCGACACATGCTGCAGTTACGCTAAGCTTTATGAAGGATAGTTTGCAGCTGTCTTTGCTCCATATCATCTCTGTAGTTTGTGTAAACCTTTAAAGGTCACCTATCATGCTATTTTTTAGGCAATAGCATAGGTCTCAGATATATAAAAAACATGTCTATGAAGTGTTTTGCTCAAAATACCAAACAGATCACCCATTCTAGCCACGCCTCGTATCCCTCTATTTCACTTCCTGCTTCAAAAGGGCTGATTTGGGGTATAAAGCGTTAAAAAATGATAAAAAACGGAGGGGGCTGAGCTCATGCGGGAGATTCTACCGGCTGATTCTACGGTGATGAAACTCCATATCATGGATTATCAAGGATTATCTCTGAAACAGTACTGAGCTCAAAGGCTTTCTCTCTTGCCGGTTATACCACAAGATGAGTTCCTTTTTATTTCCTGCTTCTTCACACACATGCTCTCCAGTACAGGTTAGCTCTGAGTGTTAGCGATGCTAATGTAAACACCGACCATATTACGTACAAAACAGTCGGGCATTGTTTCTGATAGCAACGTTTCTGATAGGGCCGTAGGTGTAAAGCCAGCCTACATTTCCAATATTACGTCATATCGGACGCAAATCTGGATCAGCTCCGTTGTAGCCCCGTTTTTAGAGATTTGGGTACGGAGGAAAAGAGAGAGGGTTTTATTTTCTGACGCTGCGTGAGTTCCCTGACACACCGGGGACACATATTGATGTATAAAAGACATCAAAAAGTGCATTTTAAATGCTTGCAGTATGCAGAGTCTGAAGAAAACAGATGCTTTAATTTGTAATACACGCAGAAAAAAGGAGACACAAAGACAGATGCATTTTCAGTTTTATTGATATACACTACTTTAGAGCCTACAGTATGATGCAAGGTATTCCCTTTGAAGAATTTCAAAAAGCACTGCAGTCTTAAAAATTACAAAAAATGTAACATACAAAATATACAAGAAATGACAATACAAGGCTCGGTAAACATCAGCTAAACCTGTATTTCCCTTTTATTTTACAAAACATATATAAGTACACACATATAAGTATATGCACATGTGTCCATATATATATATATACACACATACATGTGTTTATATAAACATGTGTGTATATATGAAATGTGTATATATATATATATATATATATATATATATATATATACTATATATTCATATATAGCATATATATATTCAACACTCACATGTCCCCAACCTTTTAGGAATGACATCCATTTGAAAGTATCAAAAATCGAGTGGTGCAGTCTCTGTCTGACGGGAACAAGTTGTCCGCTCTTTGGTTGAGACAAGAGGACAGAGTTTACTGTCCATGCTGGTTTTCTATTCCTTTTTTTTTTACTCGGGTCTTTCAAGCTGCAGAACCAGCTTTATATGCAACAACTAAATAAAATAAGCTCTCTCCTCCCAGCCAACCCTCAAAGTCCACCCTGTGCCCCAAAACACAAAACAAAGGGAATACAACGAGTTACCGACTTCTGTCTTAGTCGTGGAGAAAAAGAAAACTCAAACAGAACACAAGCAGGAGTTAAGGCATCCTAATAGTTTACATTGTGACATGATTCTCCCTCTCTGAATGCTTTTCCTTTTCTTTCCGCTCTGAATAAGCAGCTAGATTATAATCTCATGTCATGTCTTTGCTGCTGTTGTCGTTTGCATAGCCTAAATACACGTGTGCTTCTTAAAACTCTTCTGTACAGCATATTTGGTAGAAACACACCTGAACCCATTAAGATGCTCGCACTGCGTCCTTAACAAGGCAGATTGGCTCCAGGATGCTAACAGAATCAATCAAGCGTCTACAACAAATCTACTTCTATAGGCATCAAGGTTTGTTTTTCTATTTTTTTGTATTTTTTCTCCTCATTTTAAAAGGCATTAGGCAGAATTTTAATGCATAGCAAAATCACTTTCACCTGGAAACTGACTTGAAAACGTCATAAGCAACACTCCTCCGCTCTCACATGCAGGAGCATCATTGTCAAGCTTAAGGCAAGAAAAAAGATCAGTTCTTCTCCACGCCCGAAGACCCTCTCAGGACCCCGTTATTGCTGCCGTACAGGCACTGCATATCTGTGAGAATAGGAAATATGAAAACATCATTCTGGAGACAAGTAATGAGTTTGATTGTGAACAGGAAGTGCATCCAGATGTTGTTCTCTAGACTTTGGGATTGTTTTTTTAATTGTTCATTAAGGAGGGGGAACAATACATGAATGCAATATATAAACATCGTTATGTATAAAATACTATTCAAATCAGATCATTTCCCATCCAAAGTATGGTGGCGTTTAGGAATTTGAAGGCACACAAGGGCCCCTGGGAGATGTGGGGAGCTATTGCATGAAGAGAGATGTCATTATTAAAAACACTTCTGTGTAATGTGGAAATATCGGGCCCCTTCAAATACATTTGAATGACAATCTGAGAACTCATCCCTTATCAGGATTCACGAAACCATGTTTTTTTGTACACAATATTACAGTCACACTCAAAGCCAGCTGTGCAACACATGAAAAGTCGTTACTTTAGTACCATTCGAAGCTGCTAAGTGTTAATAAGGCATTTGTTCAACTTGAAGAAGACGGTAGAGGAGAGGGAGGGAGTAAATGATGAAGAAGAGGGGGTTCATGTACAGATATCTACACGGCTGCAGGGGGGCTACAGTAGTGGAATGTTGCAGGTTGCAGATCCCAGACCAGATCCTCCAGGCCCTGCACTCCAGACCTGAATGGGTTTATCAGCGTTGCATCACTGAGCCAAAAACTGGTGCAAAACCACAAATGCAGGCAGATATTTAAAAAAATGATGGTTTGATTTGAATCAAGGAATCCAAAGTTGTGTTTTTTTAAACAGTTTTCTCCAACTGTGATTAGTTTTGCCCACTTAACTGTTTTTAATCCTGATTTTTATTGTTGTTTATAATTGTTTTTGCCTTTCTTACTGAACTAAAACAACCTCTAGAAACAATTTGTATCCCAGCTCTGGCTTTCTGTGAGACCACGTTGCACTCCTGAGTTTCTGTTCATCTAATATGTCTTCTTCATCCAAGAAGGGCGATGCTGGTGAGAGGGGACACACACACACACACGCACACACACACACACACACACACACACACACACACACACACACACACACACACACACACACACACACACACACACACACACACACACACACACACACACACACACACACACACACACACACACACACACACACACACACACACACACACACACACACACACACACACCACACACACACACACACACACACACACACACACACACACACACACACACACACACACACACACACACACACACACACACACACACACACACACACCGTGGTGTTGTCTCCACTACAGACAGTTATTCAAAGGGCGAGCTCCAGTCGTAGAGATCTGATGGTTGGGGAAGTCACGGGTCATTGCTGTGACTCCACATGTTCACCTTCTCTGTCTTCTGAGTGGAGTTGAGAGTTCTGTTTCTACATCTCTAAATAAGAGAAGTGGATTTGAAATGAAATCAGAGGAGACGTATGAGAGTGTCTGCGTGTCTAACAGGTCCACGAGGCTCCAACAGAATCACCACACTCTGTTTCTGAACACAGTCTTTCTTAGCTCTTCCTGCCATCGCACACAGCACCTGGACCTGGCCCGTGTCGCAGGGGGTTCCCTGAGCCAGAAGGCTGCATCAGGTCCTGGAGGGGGCGGGGCTATGACTGGTTGTGAGCTGACGGAGGACCGTGGGTGCTGGGGGACTGGGACATGTCTCTGCCGATGATTTCATTCACTGTGAAGAGAAAACAAAGAGAAAGTACAAACATAAGTTCTTATGTTGCAGCTCATTCTATGATATGTTGTCTAGATTTGAAGATAGATACTTTGTAAAGGGCGTTCAATGCTGAAGCACCGACGCTTGATTCACTCCTGTGAAGTGCACTGGTTCATGGAATTGCTTTGAAGCTTGTGTCATTGTGAAGAATAGGAACGAAGCTCAGGACATCTCTCTAACCTCACTGCTAGGTTTCATACATGGCAAAAAGAATGAGGAAATATCAATGTGAAACAGAGAGGAACTCTTTTTAGAAAAAAGGACCTGTCTCAAGTCTGATTGAAAAGTGAATGGTTTATTGTCTAACAGGTTAACTGTGTCATATGTCAATAACATGTATGTGATCAATGATGAGTAACTTTCCTTTGTTGTGTTGTTTTTTTTACTTTTATTTTATTTATCTTCTGCATATTGGTTGTTTGTTTTGTTGTATTTTAAAACCACTCTTTAAAATCAAATATATAAAAAGAAATATAAGGAAAAAATCTACTTTTTTTGCTGCTTTGATAAACATTGGTGGGAAAATAACAAAAAGAGTAACTGAGAAATAGTGCGACCACATGTCCACTTGATGCTATGACATAAGGTACTCAAGTCATATGCAGATGAAAACCCATCTCCAATCGATATTGAATTGATAAAGACTGAAACTATAACTATCAATGAGGAGTTTCATGAAACGCTGGTATTACTTTTGGAAACTGTGCATATTGAATTTGCCTTTACAGAAAAACACAAAGAAATCCCTCAAGCTTCATAACTTTAACTTCCATCACTTA